GTGATAACGTACCTAGAGCAAATCAAATCTGAAATCAATCCAGAAGGTAAAATGATCAAAGTGGGCTATTGTACCATATACCCTAAAGGCACCAAATTCCATCTCCAAAGCTGTAGTCCAGTGCTCAAACCACTACACTACGTTGGGCTCACCTCACACAATTACAGGGTCTACAGTGAAGCGGCTTAGAGTCTTTGGCTCAGATTCTGGATCCAAACTGGGTTAAAACAAAGGAATGTGGTTTTTAACTATTAAATAAAACCTGGGTGCATCTACACTGTAGAAATAATGTAGTTTGACACTACTTAGGGCTCATTCCCACTATGATTTACATTGATTTGCTGATCGCTTTAAATGCACCTCATCCCCACTTGAAATGGTTTTAGATGTGACTACAATCATTTGGATTCACTTTGAAGTGAGACAAATGCAAAAAATTGCTCTTTTCAAACACTAGTTTTCTGCTGGTCCTTTTGAAAAGAAGCGATTAGCATGTGTGATTAGCAAATGGGAACGATGGACCTGAGTCACATAAAACTGAAGGGGAGGGATTGCTGTGGCAGAGGGTTGGCACATCCCTCACCAGTTTTTGGGGAAATCCGTGATCCCCCCACCCCAGCACTGCCTTTGTGCTTTGTGGTGTGACCTATGGGAGCATATGCACTCCATTGTATTTGCAATTACTTGCAATTACTTGCAGGTGGTGAGCCAGGTGAACGGAGTAATATATACAGTGAGACAAGTAATTGGAAAAACAATGGAGCACATATACTGTCAATTTTTAAAAAAAAAAAATTGCATGCATCCCAGAGGAGAGTCCTCCATAACAGCCATGGATGCATGCATCCCAGGAGAGAATTCTGGCCATGGCACTGATGACTCCCTCCCATTTTTTCTTGAATGTGTTGGCAGTTGCATCACTGATGACACGTAGATGATTGACAGGCATTTTGAAGGGGCACAAACTAGTGGGAGTGACAATCGTGCCAAAAAAGAAGCGAATAAAGAAAAGACCTGATTCCATAGTGGGAATGATGCATTGACTGGAATCAGTTCTCCAACCTGGAGCGAAAGCGAATCACAAACCGGGTTAAATGTAAGTGGGAATGAGCCCTTATTGCTGTAGCTCCATCCTATGGGATGTTCAATTTGTAATTGTACAAGGTCTTTAGCTTTCTTTGCCAAAGAGTGCTAGTGCCTCACAAAACTACAAATCCCAAGATTCTGTTGGACGGAGCCATAGCAGTTAAAATGGTATCAAACTGCATTTTTTCTACAGTGTAGATGCACCCCCTTTTGAGTCATTTAACATCCAGCTAGTTAGTAGTATAATCTCGCAAACCAAAAGGTATAATCAAGGGTACTTGGATTACCTGGATTAGTGATTGACCTGTCTAACCTGATTGAGAAGTCAGGACTGGACTTTTTCTTTTTCTTTTTCAATTTCTTGTCAGGGCTTTCAACTAGCCAATTGAAAGGTACCCTAATGGGTTTGTTGCCCAGGTGGTGAGTAACACCTTAAACAGGCTGGCATTTGCATTT